CCTACATTCAAAAAAATCTCAAATAAATATGCTAACCTTTCTCCTTAGCAAACTTGAAAAACAGGAGCAAAGCAAACCCAAAGCAAACAAGAGGAAGAAAATAACAATTAGAGGATAAATAAATAAAAGGGAAAAACAATGAAAAGAAATTAACCAAAAACCATTGGTTCTTTGAAAAGGTCAGCAAAGTTGACAAACTGTCAGCTAGACTAAATGAGAAAAAAAGAGATGTTTCAAATGTATAAAGTTAGGAATGGAGGAGGAGATATCACTACTGACTTTACACATATTAGAAGGATTATTTAATTGGTCATGGGATTAAGAAAAAAAGATTATAAAAGAATACTATGAACTACACAGCAAATAACAAAGCATTGACATCATGGATACCAAGTTGATGTAGAAAAACAAAAAGAAATGACATAGATCCTTCACAAACTCTTCTAGAAAATAGAGGCAGTGGGAACACTTACCAACTCATTCTACAAGATGGTTATTGCCCTGATACCAATGCCAGACAAAGATACTGTAAGAAATGGAAACTACAGACTAATACCCTTTATGAATATAGACATAAAAATCCTTAACAAAACAATAGCAAACTAAACCCAGCAATGTATAAAAAGGATTATGCATCATGACCAAGTGTGATTTGTCCCAGGAATACAAGGCTAGTTTAACATCCAAACATCAATTGATATCTAATGATATAGATTATATCAACAACAAAGGGCAAAAAAACTATGTGATCATCAACAAAAGATGCAAAAATAATTTTTGAAAAAAATCTAACATTTGGTCATGACAAAAAAACTTCAACAAACTAGGAACAGAAGGGAACTTCTTCAACAGAATAAAAATGATATATGTAAAACCAAAGTTAATGTGATATTTACTGGAGAAACCTACACACTTCATCCCTAAGATCAGTTAGAAACAAGAATGTCTGCTGTCATTACTTTTATTCCAGATTATATTAGAGATTCCAGTCAGAGAAATTAGTCAAGAAAAAGAACTAAAAGGCACCCATATTGAAAAGGAAGAAGCAAAATTATCTTTATTCCCAGATAATATACTCTTGTACACAGAAAACTCCCAATAATTTACTAAAAACAACTAAAATTAATAAACGAGTTCAGGAAAGTTATAGGATACAAGATAAACACACAGAAGTCCATTGTATTTCCACACACTAACAAAAAGCAATGCCATAAATAAGAAAATAATGCCATTCACAGTATCATCAAGAAAAAACAAGTAAGAATAAATAAAACAAATGCAAGGCTTGTAAACTGAAAGACATAAAACGTTGCTAAAAGAAATTAAAGAAGACCTAATAAAATGAAAAGACATTTCATGTTGATGGGTCAGAAGACTGAAAACTGCTAAGATGGCAATAATACCTGAATTGGCCTAAAGATTCGGCAAAATTTCTATTAAAATCAGAGTTGCCTTTTATTTTTCAGAAATTAAGAAATAGGTTCTAAAATTCATACGAAAATGTTAAGGGTCCAGAATGTCAAACAATCTTGAAAAGGGGAACAAAGTTGATGAAATCGATTTTTAATTTCAAACTTACCACAAAGCTACAGCAATCAAAATAGTGTAACACTGATATCAGGACAGACATATAGATCAACTGAATAAAGTTAAAAGCACAAAAATAAGACCACATTTATGGTTGACTAATTTTGACAAAGGCCCCCAAAAGAATCAAAGGGAAAGAAATCATCTCTTCAACAACTAGTGTTGGCGTAATTAGATATCCACATGGAAAAAGATCAGTTTGAACTTCTATCTTACATTACATACAAAAAGTAACAATTTGGATGACAGACCTAAATGTAAGCACTAAGAAAACATTCATAAATATTTGTGATGTTCAATTAGCCAATCACTTGGGCACAAGAGATAAAAGAAAAACATGATAAACTGGACATAAACTTCTGCACACAGTAAAAATTGTGAAAAGACAACCCACAGAATGAAAGAAAATATTTGCAAATTATGTGTTTGATAAGAAACTTTTATTCAGAATACATAAAGAACCCTTATAATTCAATAATAAAAAGACAAATAATCCAACTAAAATTTAGGCAAAGAATTTGAAGAGATGTTTCTCCAAAGAAGATATATAAAAGGCCAATAAACATGTGAAAATATATCTATTATAACATCATTAGTCATTAGGAAAACCACAATGACACAATCTCATACCCACTAGGATGTCTATAATCAAAAAGACAGGTAATAAGTGTGAGGTTGTGGATATCTCGGAGTATCTTTCCAAGTTACCTTGGAAAACAGTTTTTGAGTTCCTCAAATTATTAAACAGAGCTATCATATGACACAGAAATTCCACTCCTAGGTACATATCCTAGAGAGATGAAAACATACATGCACACAAAATTTGTACATAATTGTTCATAGCAACATTTTTCATAATAGCAAAAAAGTAGAAACAATTCAAATGTTAATGTGTGCATGAATAAATGCACACATGGTAAATGTGGTATATCTATACAATGAAATATTATTCAGCCATAAAAATGAGTGCATGACTGACACATGCTACCTCAAACACATTTTGTTAGCTGAAAGAAGGTGGTCACAAAAGACCACATATTATGTGATTCCATTTATGCAAAATGTTCAGAAAAATGTCCAAATTGAGGGGAACGAAAAGGTAGATTAGTGATTACCAGGGCTAGAAGGAGCTGGAAATTTAGAGTGACTATAAATGGGCATGACGTTCTTCACAGAGTGATGGAAATGTTCTAAAATTAGATATGAGATGAGTGTACAACTCTAAAAATATACTAACATTCATTGAACTGTACATTTAAAACAGGTGAATGTGATGTTTTGTAATTTACCTCAATACAACATATTAAATGTTTAAAAACTTAAAAATTACTTCATGTTCAACTAGTCTTTCTAGTTGACCTAATCAGAGGCTTGAAGTCAGTCAGCTTCTTGTTGCCTGATTAAATAACAAGTACCATCTAAAATAACTGTATATAACAAAAGATATACATGCCACACTTTAAAACACAATTGTGGGATCTTGAGGAGCCACATTCAGACCTCTCTGAGGCCAAACAAGAGGCGAAAAGATACTACGAGGGAGGCAGGATGCATGGGACAGTGGCCCCATGACACCACCACTAGAGGAAGCAGTGAGAAAATGGCCCTGCATTTTCTCCCACTGAGGATAGAGAAGCTGCAAGTAAATTCATGGTTGGAAGTGAGATGAATAGATTATGTTAGCTGCGGCACTTTGAAAACTGCACATATTAGAATCAGCTGAGCACAAATCAGAATGGCCATCAGGAAGAATGCTGTACCTGTACATAAAAGGCGAATTCCACCCTGAAACACAGAGTATCTTTGGGTGCTGGTAGCCACACCAGTGTGTCACGGATATGTTTGTCTCGCCAGACTCACTTATCTAGGAATTGCCCCTCTTCAAGACCACCCGCCTTCCCATTCTCATAGTAACGCTGGGAAATATCGTCTCGTATTACCCAATTCCCTCTTGGACGTATACGCCTGTTCTTAATGTGGGGAATTCCTCTCTGGCATTTTAGACTGGAAATGAAGAGAATGCCAGGCCAGTATCTCTCCAGAGACTAACTCTGGAATAGGTCAAATGCCAGAGCTCAAGGCAGTTCTGTTTTTACCATGTGGATGCCAGTACCTTCCAATAAATTCCCCTTTCTCCTGAATTGTGTTTTGGTTCCATGTAACCAAGAATCCTAACTGATACTATTCAAGTTTAAATCGTTTTCTGCTTAAATTCTAGTCCATCAGCATTCCCACAATACACAGGACTTGGTTCCACTTAAAGGTGCACATCAGTCCCATAATCAGGAGATGTTAGAGATAGTACCAACAGCAAAGTCGTCTCTACCCACTTATCCTGCCCTCCCCAAGACAAAGGTTAAGGTGATTCTGCTGGGAACACTAGACAAGCAAGTTGTTTGAGGATTACAGTAAAGAAGGTGGATAGCTGAACTAAGTCTGGGAAGTTTAAAGACTTGTCCAAATACCAGAAAAACAAACGATTAGGTGTTGTTTATGGCTGTTATTATAAACCAACCAGATGCAATGTGATATAAAGCTTCTGAAATCCCAAAGAAACGAACAATTTGTTAAATGCTATGTTAAGAGCTTTTGCAAGCTCCATTTCCACTATTTATTTCACTTTGGTTTAATCACATTTTGATTTGCAAAACGAGAAGCATGATGTAGTTGTCTTTATGAAAATCAACTACTAGAATTCCCGAGAATTAAATTAACCAAAGGAATGGAGACACCACAATTTTACTATTTCCTTTTTTAAAATAATGTATTTATTTAGCAAAATACCTAGCTTACCAGGCTCGGTAAAGCTATCATCAAATCTCTAATTCATGTGTACTGGATTCACAACTTCTTTCCAGATTATAGCAAGTTCAATAACCCAACACTGTGGGGGAAGTCAAGGTACTCACATACAATGTGTCGTATTCTGATTTTAGAACAAAATGGTGATATTATGTACTTGACTATACCCTTAAGATAAAATCTAGAACTAAAACAAACAGGTATACTATGAAAAATATTAAGAATTCTAATGGTGATTACCATAGAAAAGTGTTGCTAAAATTGTGCTAGCAGTAATAATGATAATAACAATGGAAAAAGTAACAACAGAAATAATAAACCATCTAGCCCAAAGATATGTAGAGTCAGGGATGTAACTGTGTTATGTACAGGAGTTATGATTTTAATATTTATCACTGTAGGGTACATCAGATTTGCATTTCCCTAGCATATTCTCTTATTTCTTCACTGGTTAAATCAATGCCATATTGTCTACCACATGTGAAAGGCCATTAATTAAGTTATTACACCGAGGGCAGACATAACAAAGGCGTGACACCTTTGTACACTCAAGGATGACATTCAGAGATGGAGGATAAAATCTCCACAAAAGAGATTTAAATGCATGTTACCTAATATCCGAGAGGTCGCACTTGTTTCCGGCGATGGCCATTACGATGTTTTCCGGACCATGTTCTTTCAGCTCCTTGACCCATTTCTTCAAGGTATAAAATGAATCCTAAAACAACAGTATATACACATCATTGGAAAGACCCCTCAATATAATATTTCAACCAAGTAGAAATACAAACCCAGTACCATTTAATGGAGAAAAATATTTTTAGGAGACTCATGCAGATTAACACACTACCTCTGGCTAGGCACAAAAGTTAATGTTAGCTGAAATACACTTAAATTGACCATATAAAGTTTTCCAAAATTAAAACTCGATCTAGTTAGGAAAACTGTATCCTTGATTTTCTCCTATAAATTTATATAGCAAAATCAATTTAAAATGATAGCCTGGACTCCGCACATGAGTAAGAATAACAGGACTAAGTAAATGCTCATGCTTACTTACACCTAGAAATAAACATATATTTAGAGTCCTGTCTTCCCGTTGAGCCTTCACTCACAATCGTCCTCTAGAAAACAGGTGGAGGACAACACGCCACATTTAGGTAGAAGAGGTCAGGAATTCGTGGAAGATAACAGTGATAGGTCATTAAACTAACAGTCGTAGGTGCTGAGGCAACACTCCAGAGGAAAAAAGTAAATAATTTAAGTTGCAGGAGTCAGAAAAAATGTCATCAAACCACTGCAGTTACTTGTTGATGGAAGTCTAAGACCTTCAACATGATAAATAAAAATACATTTATATTATATGAACACACACATATTAACTTATATACACATAAACGTTATGCTTGGTATTTTAAGTATGTAGTATGACTGAAACACTAACAAAAATAAGTATTCCATAATTATAAAGCATGCAGAAATTAAAAACAATTTTCCTTTTCTTAAAAAGTTGACATTCTGCAAAATAGTACCAGCAGACATGACTTTGCCTCTACAGTCAGTTTTAAGAATGAATGGTCACTGTTGTTTAATTTAGCAGATAATGTGGGATGTTTTGTTACATATACATGAAATAAACTCAATATATAGTGGCAGGCTGCTGGCAAGATGCAAGCAGTGACATCTCTGCTTCAGTCTCTCTAAGTGAGACACCTGCCATAAATGGCATCTAAATTCTGAAGGAGACATTCTTACCTGCTTCGTAATATCATACACAATAACAGCAGCAGCCGAGCCTCGATAGTACATGGGAGCCAACGAATGAAACTGTTTAAGAACAATGAAAGGTTTTAGGCCAAAGTGAACAGACTTTATTCAATCCCAAATTAAATATAAAATATTTATCCTACATCATCCCTATAGGATCCCTAAATTCCTTCCCCCTCTAATTTTTTCAGTGCTCATATTATTACTTACTTTCTTTTATTTTCTTTGAGACAGAGTTTCACTCTTGTCACCCAGGATAGAGTGCAGTAGCATGATCTTGGCTCACTGCAACCTCCACCTCCTGGGTTCAAGCGATTCTCGGGCCTCAAGATCCCGAATACCCAGGATTACAAGCATGCGCCACAACACGCGGATAGTTTTTGCATTTTTATTAGATACAGAGTTTCACTATATTGGCCATGCTGGTCTCCAACTCCTGACCTCAGGTGATCCACCCGCCTTGGCCTCCCAAAGTGCTGGGATTACAAGTGTGAGCCACCGAGCCCAGCCCCAGGGTTCATATTAAATAATAAATTTTCCTCCTTGTCAACACATATATATGCTTGTGGTTTATTGGCCATGAAAACTACTCTTGGGTAAAGACCCAAAACAAATTTTATTTTAAACGTTGCCATCTTGTGAATTTTCTTTTCTCTGCTGCTAATAATTTCTGGAATATGACTGACCCAGGGCAATCTCATTAGAATTATATAGCAGTAAAGAAAAGATGTATGGCTAGGATAGGGAAAGGGATCACAGGCAAAGATCACAGGACCCTGGCTGAGCCATTAATGAGGACTACTCAGCAAGGGCAGCCTTGGCAGCAGCTGCCTCGAGTCTGGAGGGCTGCCATTTCTCTAATGCAGGTTTCCTCACCTACCTAAGGTCCGCAAATGACGAGACAGCAGAGGAGCTGCATTCCAAAACTTTAACAAAGGAAGTGCTGCTGGTCACTAGCATCGTTCGTCCCCAGACAGGATAGCTCATTAGTCTCAGAATGCATACATTTTACGTATATTTTGGAGAAGGGTCCAGTCTTAATCTGCACCTTTTTTTTTTAATTAAAAAATATCCTGGAGGGGCCAAGCATGAGATTCACACCCGTAATCCCAGCACTTTGGGAGGCCAAGGTGAGCGGATCGATTGAGGTCAGGAGTTCGAGGCCAGCCTGGCCAACATGGTGAAACGCCGTCTCTACTAAAATTACAAAAATTAGCCAGGCATGGTGGTTGGCACCTGTAATCCCAGCTACTTGGGAGGGTGAGGCAGGAGAATCACTAGAATTTAGGAGGCAGAGGTTGCAGTGAGCTGAAATTGTGAGACTGCACTCCAGCCTGGGAAACAGAGACTCTGTCTCAAAAAAAATAATCCTGGAAGGGTTTTGAAAGTCAATAAGAAAAAGATGGCTTAATAGAAAAATAGACAAAGATATATATAGGTAAATTTCAGAATACATATAAATTGCCAATAAATATTTTAAAACATGTTCAGTTAGAATTGGAAGAACACCAATAAAAATAGGCACTTATAAATTGTCAAATTGTAAAAAGATTTATGCTGTTCAGTGTTGGTGTAGGTTTGGGAAGGGAGAGATGCATACTCTACATGGAATTTGCTGAATATCTTCTTTCAAAGCTGTTGGTAATATAATCAAAAGTTGAAATGTGCATCCCATTTGACCCAGCAATTCCACTTAGAGGAGTATATACTGGAGTGATCATCACACACAGGAAGACACATCCCTGTGCTGTATATGGGAGCAAATGAGAACTGACTCATGGTACAGTGTTATCAACTGAATGTTTGTCTCCCCTAAAATCCATGTATTAAAACCTCAGCTCCCAACGTGGTGGTATTAGGAGGTGGGGCCTTTGGGAGGTAATTAGGGTTAAATGATGTCACAGATAGAATTAGTCTCTTATAAGAATAGAAAGAGACCAGATCTCTCTTCTCTCCCCACCCTGTCCCTATGTGAGATACAGCAAGAAGGTGAGTATCTGCATACCCATCTGCAATGGGGCTCTCACAGGCACTGAATCTGCTAGCACTTTGATCTTGGACTTCCCAGCTCCCAAACGTTAAGAAATAAATGTATGTTGTTTAAGCCACCCACTCTATGTTATTTTGTGCACAGATTAAGACATATATGTATGTAATGATATCCTATAATCATTGAAATGATGATTTTTATTTATAGGAAAAGATATCCTTGACATACTATTAAATGAAAAAGTCTCAAAGCAGCACATAAAGCATATAATGTATCCTTTATTATGTGCTTAATTTACCATTATATGATAATATAATGTAGGGTAAAATGTGTGTGGGAGTATGTCTCTGCATGCAGGAATAACATGAGGTCCCTCTAAATCTTAAGAGGTGGGATTTACAGTGATTTTTACATTTTCCTTATAAGCATTTGTATAGCATAAATTTTTACAATGAGTTTTAAGTAATATGGTTTTTAAGTTTTGAACAAAGGTGATTTTTACATTTTCCTTATAAGCATTTGTATAGCATAAATTTTTACAATGAGTTTTAAGTAATATGGTTTTTAAGTTTTGAACAAAGCAGATGTTTTTTATTAGGCAGTGGGGAGAGAGCAGGGAGGAAAAAGTGGATCCTGAAGCTTTTCTGGCAAGTGAAAAACCCTAACTCATTATTTTCTTTCCCACAATACTCATCATTGGATCAATACTTGCCAAATTGAAATGATGGTATTTGGAAATCTGAAGCACACGGATTCCCCAGGTTTCCCTGTTACTGCACTGAGGAATGCCGTCGAGGCACTCACAACAGAGTGGAAAGGAAGCAGCTACCCTCCCTGCCTCCAGTCCCTCCATGCAGGACTCCATCCTGAAGAGAAAGGACTCTGGAGCCTCTGTGGGTTTCAGAAAAGAGAGAGGGTTGCTCAGGGTGAACCAAAGAGTTCACAGCTGAACTGTGCATTGGCCAAAGATGCTAAAGAGCCGGCCCCACCTACTGCCCCCATTCCAGAACACACTTGGGGACAGCAGCATTTGCCATGCATGCCTTCCCATACTCACTGACTGCCCAGCACTGTGTTTGGCATAATTATTAGGCATCCATAAATCTATTTTTAACTCGCCATTTGGCAATCTACTCCTTACACGTAAAAAACAAAATCAGAATTCCTGCCCAAAGGGAGGAAAAAGCCATAAAATTTTTTGAAACATTCCTGCTTTGCAAAGGCGCAGATAAAGTCTCCTTTTACCCAATTATATAAAATGCCCATTTTTCTTTTCAAAGTAGCCTCCATATAAGAGTGGTCCATGTAAACACACAAAGTAGCAGTCAGTACAAACTTTATTTCCCAAAAGTGACGATATTCATGGACTCAAGTTCAAAGAGGAGCAAACTGCGGGTGTCTTCTAAGACAGAGTTCATTTTAGGCTAAAACACCATGAACAGAATCTAAAACAGTCACTGGTGTGGAAGTCTCATGAATTATTGAAGAGATCTTGGTATATAATGCATTACTCATTCTTTCCTTCCTCCAAATGGAATCACTTTGAAATAAATCTGTTGGTGAAGCCACTTAAATGACTTTATTGCTGGGGACTTGAGGGTTTTAATGAGTTAGAAGTTCACGTCTCAGTTCCAAAACCCAATAATGCATTGACCAAAGGATGATCTTGGTGGAGGACAAAATGATAAATCACTTCTAGTCTACAACATATATACTTTTTCCCCTTACAAATAGAAAACAAAAGCACCACAACCAGCCTTAGTAGTCAACATGACATAATTCAATTCCTGTGGGGTCAGAATTAAGACTGATAGAATGCTCACATAAAAGATTCTTCTAGAAATAAAGTTCACAGTCACAGGATGCTGATAAAGCTTTATTTTTACATCTTACCTTGAAAGGTTATTTGAAAATTAGCACAACAGATGCCAGTTCAAAATCCTTTCTTTTCTGACTACCCAACAAAACATCTAGAAGACCAAATTCAAATGTTGAGAAAATGTTCAGATGTCACTCGATTATTTAGAAACAGCACAGGGAACTGTGAAAAGCCAGTTTGTCTCCTCAAAAGAAATAGCTGTTTATGTCCTTAGTGTGTGCGGGGGTCCCTATGGTAGAGAAGGGTATGGCCTTCTTTAAGCTCTTGGAGCTTCTCAGACTGCTCAGCTTCCGCAGATGGACACTAACCCTGCCCCGCCTCCAGCAGCTGGCAGAAAATAATCGAACATGATCTTTCTGGAAAGCAGCTGGACAATGTGTTTCAAGAGTCTTGCAAATGTTCAGATACTTTGATTTGACAATTCCACCTCTTAAGGAAATAATCAGAGATGGTTACAAAGTAACCAGAATTCGTTCGAGAATTATCAATGATGCTGAAAAATTGTAAGCAATCTCAATGTCTAACAATTAAGGAACGGGCACATAAATTTTGGCTTAGCCATATGAGGGAATATCCAGCAGCAATTAGACTCAGGCGTTTGCAAAATATTCATGGTGCATGAATCAAGACAGCTTAGTGTGGTATCTTCCCAAGGGTCTTCTGGAAAACACTAGGCCACCTCAAGGTGGCCAGGAAAAAAGGAAAAAAACCACCTAAGTTTGAGAAACACCACATATAATTATGCTTCCCTGGAGGTTTACAAAGCATAATTAGTGCATTAAAGGCTCTGAAATTTTCTACAGTAAAGAAACCTATTTATTTTGGTTTTAGTTCAGAATTCCTCATTCATTTAAAAAATCTTTTTTCAAGTGGTATTTATTAATATCTAGAGACCTAGTGTGATCAAGACCTACCTTAGGGGCAGTGAAGAGAACTGGACTCAAAGAGAGTCCTGAGGCTTGACCTGACTATCCTGCTTTGCATACCTTGTGAAATGGGTCCAGGGGTTGGGGTCGGAGACGAAGCTGAGGTTTTTCCAGCTCTGTGACAACCCTCCAGAGCTCACAGCCAAGGTGAAAACAGGCTTAGGATGGAGGCTCTCGTTTTCCCTGCAGCGCATGCCTCTTGTTTTCCCGTCCTGTACCGCCTTATGTGTGCATACGCACACACACATACGCGCGTGCACACACA